CATTTTTTTCTACCATTCTCAACCTCTAAGCACTGGCTCCCAATTCCCTTGCATTAACCTCATCCCTTCTTCCCAGCTGCCCCTATACATCCAAGTCAGATGGCCTGTCTGCGTCATAGAACATTCTACAGCTAATTTGTTTGTTTTTTGAGATAGGGTCTCACTATGTAGTTCAGGCTGGCCTTGAACTCATTACGTAGCCCAGCTAGCACTGAACTCATGGGAACTCTACTGCCTCACTCAGCCTTTCAAGCTGGGACTACAGGCGTGAGCCACAACATCCAGCAATTTTAGAGCTAATTTACTCAACACAGACCTAATTTCTCTTAAATTATTTGGCCTTTCTCCCCATAATTAAATACCATAATTGTCTCTGAAATCCAGCTTAGAAATCTCTTCCTTCAGGAAAACCTATCATTGACTACTGGCTTCCCAGTATCCTGAGCCCTTACCCACTTTGTGGTACAACATTTGTTTAGTATGCACAAGAGCCTGGATTCAATCCCTAACACCACAAAAAAACCCATAAAGCCAAAACACATATACTGACTTTTTTTTTTTAGAGAAGGGGTTTGCTGGGAAGTGAATCCAGACAGGGCTTCATGCAGGCTCCGCAAGTGATCGACCAGTGGGCTACATCCTTAGCCCTTTTTATATTTTTTAAATTTTTGCTTATTTAATTTTTTTGAGACAGGTTCTCACTATGTAGTTCAGGCTGGCCTTGAATGAACTTTCAATCCTCCCATCTCATCCTCCCTGAGTGCTGGGACTACTGGAATTACAGGCATATGCCACCACACTTAGCTGCAGTTTATCAATTCCTTATTGAGAGCCAAACTCTCTTGCCTCTTAGACCCTTGCACACTTCACCTATCTGAAACATCTTTTCTCCACCCTTACCCCTACCTGACTCCTCATCTTGCAAGTCTTAAATGGTCCTTTTTAAGGGGCCTGTAAATAAGTGCCCTCTGGGGTAGGGGGGCACGCCTATAATCCCGGCACACAGGAGGCTGAGGCAGGAGGGTCACTACGAGTTGTTCAAGGCTAGTTTGAACTACATAGCGGAAAAAGCAAAAAACAGGCCGGGGATTTAGCTCAGTGGTTTCACCACCTGCCTCAAAAGCAAGCACAAGGTCCCAAGTTTGATCCCCAGTACCAAAAAAAAAAAAAAGGAAACAAAAAACAAAAAAATAAATAAATTAGTGTCCTCTAATCTTTTCTGTCCTAGCATTCTGTTCTTTTCCTCATGAAAATCTGTAATAGCCTGTAATCCCAGCACTCAGGAGGCTGAGTGAGGTAAGATTGTTTCGAGTTCAAGGCCAGCCTGGGCTACATAGTTTAAGGCCAGACTGAATTACAGAGCAACACCCTGTCTCAAAAAAAAAAAACTCTAATTATACATTTGTGTAACAGTTTTGTAAATTTCTGTCTATCCCACTAGAGGCCAAGTCCTATGAGTGCAAAGGGCCTATCTGTTATGTTCCCCTCTGTCAACAATTTCCATGTATAAAACCAAGCCCCACTCCTCATTGCCTACTCACACTGGATTCTGTTGAGGCCGAAGTGGGGGCAAACTTTCTAGGCCCTTTTCCCAAGCAGTCACAGCCATAGCAATTTCTTCTTCAGATAGGGTAGCCAGTTCCTCTTCCTACAGAAGAATGGACAGAATTCCTTATCAGATAAAGAAACTCTCTCCTACTGGATAAAGATGTGATTTTTTAATAAAATGGGGTACTACTCAGTCATAAAGAAAAAGAAACTAGAGACATTTATAGCTAAATGGATGCACATTGAGGCCATACTCTTAAGTGAAATAAACAGACACACATGTGTAAATACTGAATAGTTTCTCCGGTGCGAGAAACTGAAAGTGTAAACAAGGATCAAAATGTATAACTGATAATGTGAAATAAGAAAAGGTCTAAAGGGGAAGGGGAAGTGGGAGGGGGTAGCGGCAAGGAAAGAAGGCAAAGGAAAAAATATGAGAAAAGGAAAAAATGGAAACAAAGTCTCTGTAAATAGGGAGGGGTCAAGGGATTGAAGGGAGGGCAGGGGAATGGGGAAAAAAATAAGAACCAAGACACATCATGTAGGGCAGGGGATTTAGCTCAGTGGTTCCACCGCCTGCCTCAAAAGCGCAAGGACCTGGGTTTGATCACTGGTACCAAAAAAAAAAAAAGATACATCATGTAAAGGTACAAGTTCCCAATGATGAATGTAAATGTACTGTATACCTAAAATGTACCAATAAACTTAATGAAAAAAAGAAAAAAAGAAAGACTCTCTCCTTCCTGTCAAATGACTAAAACATCCCCAAGACTCTGAGGATACCCAATCCCGTTCCAAACCTCAGGCTCATTGCTGACAACCCTCCCCTCAGGTGGCCTGGGCTGGGGCTGCTTTTGGAGGTAGGGCCGGAGAGCCAGGACACCCCGCTGTTTCAGCACAGTCTGTGCAGCTCGCTGACATGGCTCCTGGGTACTCAGTGTCTGGAACCAGCTGCACAGGTCACCCAGCTCCTCTGTGGGCATGGGAGAAAAGAGAGAATCAGCAAGCAGAAGGACCTGGTTGGGCAGGCAGAAATGGACTTCCTCACCTCCTCTGGAGGTTTCTCCAGTTGCTTTTACTAGTTCCTTCAGCCTCTTATGTTATAGTTGCCTATTAAGCTGCACCTTGAAGTAGACCCTCAATTCTCTATTGCCTGTTGTGTAACCACTACACCAAGCTCCTGGGGTTGAGGCTTAGAGTGAAGTGATATGCACAGTTCTCACCAGGAAGGTAGGCTGGGTCTTGGAGTAATGGGTATAGCGCTCCCCACAAAACAATGTCAGCTAGAGATTCTGTCTCCTTGGTTGGGGAAGAAAAAGACACACAGATGAAGCATTCATATTTTCCTCAGTAATATCAATATCTAATATTTACTGAGAACTTGGTACATGTCAAATACTGTGTTAAAACACTTTATTTTGGGCCAGGGATTTAGCTCAGTGGCACCACACCTGCCTTGCAAGCGCAAGGTCCTGGTACCAAAAAAACAAAAACAAAAAACAAACCCACTTTATTTCACTTAATCTTCACAATAATTCAATGAGGTAGGTACTCATATTTCTTCTATTTCATAGATGGAAAAAAAATTTAAGATTAAAGAGTTTTAGTATTTTCTCTTTTTTTGGTACTGGGAATCGAACTTGGGTCCTTGCACTTGCGCAGCAGGCAGCAAAACCACTGAACTAAATCCCCGGCCCTGAGTTTTAGTATTTTCAAGGTCACACTGCTAGTAAGTGGAGAGTTAGGATTTGAACACTCTGAATACAGTCTTCCCTCTTAATCCTTACACCATAAGCCTTCCCCAAATTCTATCTGAAGACCAACTTACCCCAGCAAGGAAAGGACAGTTTTGGCGACTCAAGCTGTGGTCAATGTGAGTCAGCACTCTCCCTATTGGCCCGAGAACATCTTCACTCTTCTTGCCTTGAACCACTAAATAGTACAGGGCAGCAGACAAAGCTGGCTAAAATGCAAGGGACAATGATCAAGATGAGCATGCACAGCCAGGGGCCACCTGTCATCCCTCATGCCTTAGTCGTACCTGCAGCTCTGTTGCCTCCCATTCCAGCCACTGGTTGGTGAGGTCATCTTGTTCCCAGCCAGATAACAAAAAGAAATATCTGCCCCAGGTGAAAAGAACAGAAGGTAGAATTAGAGTGGTCCATTTAGCCCATTTCTCTCACCTCTTAATGAACAGTGGTTAGAAATATGGTCAAAGGGCAGCGAGGCTTGCTTTAATCCAGCCACCTCCCCATACCAAGGACCAATACTGACCGGCAGATCGCACTAGTGGAGAAGAGGTAGTTGCCACTATCCAGTTGCAAGGCAGGGACCTTAGGCTCGGTCAGGAATGGGACCACACACTCTGATGCAGGAGAGGAAAATGGGTGAGAAAAAAAAAACAACTTTGTCAACTTAGGGCAACTTCACATTGTTTCTGGAAAACAAAGAAAAATGGGCAGTCTCAACCCAGGGGTTCCAGGATAGGACCACTGAAAGGGGGTGGGTCCAGAATATGCTGGAGAGGACAGCAGGTGTTCAGCTGAGACTGCCAGCTGGAAACAACAGATGGGGAACTGCAGAGAGGGGAAGGGGGGTTGGTCTTGGGATAGTGCTGCAGCTGAGAAGTGGAACAATTAAAAGCAACTAAGATATCTTGGGAATGATCTGAGGTGAGAGAACAAAATTAAGAGAACTGGGAAGACTGACAAGAGAACTGCTTAAGAGTCACCCAAACAGTTGGCTGGGAATGAGAAGAGGTAAACTAAAGTGTATGTCGGGGAGGGGGGGGGGGGGGGGGGCTTCCTAAGAATAACAAAGGTGTGCCTGGAGGTTTTCCAGTCAGTGATAGAGTGGAAGAGCTTGCCTGTCAGTTGTGAGGTACGACTGGGAAAGGGAGAGTGTGGGTTACTGAGATGAAGCAGGTTTCCAGAAAACGAAAGAGGGGAAGCTAGGAATAAGGAAAAAATATACTGATTTATTAAGGGAAGTAAATGATAAAAAATGCGACAGGGAGGAAAGAAAGGTTGGAGTGACCAAGGATAGTGGGGGAAAACATCGATTGGGGATGTGTGGTGAAGAAAGGGGCTCGGCCAAGGTAACTGCGAGGTGATGCCCGGTGCTTCTGCCCCGCCCCCCTCATCCACCGCCCACCAACACCAGCCAGTGTACCTTCCGGACCCACAGTGCTGATGAGCAGCTCTGCCCGGCCCTGGGCCCTCGCGGCAGCGGCCAGCACTGGCAGGCTCCCCGGGGCGCCCTCACTCACGAACAGTCTCATTTCACCAAGAATCCCACGCTGATGCAACCGGAACCGGGCTCCCGCCTGTGAGTTGAGCCGCCGCCGCGAGGCATTCCGGGAAATAGAGTTCTGTTTTAGACCGTTGCTCGCGTAGAGCTCCAGAAAAGCCTACTATTTCTCCCATCATGCAACGCAAAGAAACAGGAAAAGGCTACCATCGAGACGGAGACGCCTTAGATGCGGTGCTGGCGAGGCTGTTACAGTGGGAGGACCAGAGGGGGTTGTTAGGGCTCAGTGCACGTTTAAATTTTAAGAGCCAGTGGGCGGTGACTGAAACCGCGCCTTCTTATCCTGTAGTTGTGAAGAATGAATGAAGGGGCTGTCATGACTGTAGCTACTCGCAATCCTCCACTCTGAATTCAAGAGTCGAGTTATTACTATGAGCTTACTTTTGTGACCAACTGCAAATTACTGTAGATATCCTGTCAACCAAAAAGGATGTGGTTAATTAAAATATTGACTTATCACCAGCCTACAGCTCATAAACGGCTAGACAGTGCCATCAGAGAGAAGGGGATCTGTAAAAATAAAAAAAGGTCAAATTGGAAGGCTGTTTCACAATAAATATAGATTACGCAAGGAAACACAGGTAAGTAATTGAGAAAGAGACCTTTCTTATTCATCTTAGTATCCCTATAAGAATAATATGAGTTGAGGATGTAGCTCAGTGGTACAGTGCTTGCCTAGCATGAACAAGGCTTTGGTTTCTGTCCCAGCCCCGCGGGAAAAAAAGAAAGAAAGAAAGAAAAAAGAATGTGTAATACCTAATAGATTTATAAGCCAGGCATTGTTCTAAGCACTGTACATGTATTTATTCATTTAATTCTTTTAAAAAAAGAACTCTGAGACTGGGCCTTTTTAAAGTAGGCCTTTAAAAACTCTGTAGAGAGCTAGATGTGGTGGTACATGCTATAATCCTAGCCTCTGGGAGACTGAGCCAGGAGAATCACAAATTTGAACCCAGCTTGGGCAATTTAGCAATTTAGCAAAACTCTACCTTAAAAATAAAAAACAAAGCCAGGCTTGGTGGCACAAGCCTGTAATCCCAGCATTCAGCTAAGGCAGGGAATCACCAGGAGTTCAAGGCCAGCTGGGACTACATAGTGAGTTAAAGGCCAGCCTGAATGACAGTACATAGTGACATCTTGTCTCAAAAAAAATAAATAGATAACATTTTTAATTTTTTTAGATAAAAAATTTTAAAAGGCTGGGGGGTGTAGCCCAGTGCAAACTCCCTGTGTTCAATCCCCAGTACCACACACACACACACACACACACACACACAGTTTGCAGGGCGGGAGATCACACACACACACACAAAATTTGCAGGGTGGGGGATTTAGCTCAGTGGTGCTGCTGCCTGCCTCAAAAGTGCAAGATCCTGAGCTCAATCCCCGGTACCAAAAAAAAAAAATTGCAGAGGAAGCTAAGCATGGTGGTGTGCACACCTCTTAATCCCAGGACTATGGGATGCTGAGGCAGGAAGATCTTAAGTTTGAGCCTAGCCTGGGTAATTTAATAAGTTAGTGAGACCCTGTCTGGAAAAATAAAAAAGGCTGGTGATATAGCTCAGTACAAAGGCCCTGAGTTTAATCCCCAGTAATGCAAAATAAAATCAAAAATTTTAATCTGGGGTGTGTAGCTCAGTAGGACACATACTTAGCACATCCCAAAACCTAGGTTCAATCCCTGACACCACCAGAGAAGTGATTTAGGAAGAGGGAGGGAGGTGGGAGGGAGAGCAAAGGAAAAATCTTACAGCGTCTATTCAGGCCTTTTGGAGCACACTGGTAACCTTGAGCTGCCATGCGGGAGAAGCCTCAAGTAGATATTCTGTCACATAGCTCCAGATGATCCCACCATCTAGGCATCCTCATCAAGGTTTTGGACATTTGAGTGAGGCTTTCCAAACTGATCCATTCTGCCCACAGAATATCACCAAATAAGTCAGTGTGATTTTTGTTTGTTTTGTTTTATTTTTTGAGACAGGTCCTCACTATATAGTTCAGGCTGCCCTTGAACTCACTATGAACCCAAGATGGCCTTGAACTTGCAGCAATCCTCTTACTTCAGCCTCCCAAGTAATGGAATTATAGCTGCATGTCACCATGTCCAGCACTCAGTGGGTTGATGCCGCATTATGACAGAAAAATCACTCAGTGGACCCCTATCCAGATTTCTGCCCCATCACATAGCTTTTCAGCTATAATACAATTGTATTATTGTTATACAGACACACTCAAAAATAACAAAAATAATAATGAGATAGTTTCTCTCATTTTACTGGAGAGGGAACTGAGGCACAGAGAGCTTACTTTGTGTCAGGAACTGTGCACAATATTGAAGATACAACTATGAACAAAATAGTGCTGACAGACTTCCTAAAAGTCAGAAAATCAAATCTTTAAGGATGATGACAGTTATGATGAGAGAGGAAAATCTTGCCATGCAAGCTCTGAGTTAGGGTCCCTCTAATGGGTTACGAGGCTTCTGCATATGACCTTTCAGCTGAGATCTAAAGGATGAGTATGAGTTAACTAGGTGAAGAGTGGAAGGAGTGGAGAGGGAAAGTGTTTCAGGCAGAGGAAACAACACATACCCTTTAGGAATCTAAGGAATTAGTGTAAGGCTGCAGTGTGGATTTGGTCAGGAGTGTGAAAAGTCTTGGCAAGAATGTGAAAGTCTCTGTAAATTATATTGTAAAATTTGGACTTTGAGGACATCGAGAGCGCTTTTTCCTCCCAGTGCTAGGGATTGAACACAGGGCCTCATGCATGCTAGGTAAGTACTCTACCACTGAGGTACATTCCAAACCCATTTTTTATCTTTTTTTTTTTTTTTCCTCATGTTTCATTTCAAGACCAGATCTTTCTGAATTTCCCAGGCTGGTCTTGAAACTGTGATCTTCTTGCTTCAGCCTTCCAAGTAGTTGGGATTAAAATGTACAATACCACACCCAGCAATGATAAGCATATTTGCATTTTGGTAGGTCACTGTGGTGGCTATGCCAGGAATAGACAGGAGAGGAACAGAACTATAAGGAAGGAGATTAGTTAGGATGTTGTATCATTTGGGCTAAAGAGGTGGTAGTTGTAGGGATAAAAGGAAGTAGGTAGGTCCAGGGGTGTAGCTCAGTGATATAGCACTTGGCTAGAACACTTGCAAGGCCCTGGGCTCAATACCCAGCACTTCCAAAAGAAAAACAAAAGTAAATTGGAAAAATATAAATTGCAGTATTTGGAGATCATTTGAATCAATGTGGGTGGTAAGGAAACACGAGAAATCAGACTGGCTACATACACAATCAGGCATACTCTGTTCTCCAGCAGATATTAGTAACTTCCTCTATCATAGTGATTATTATCATCGTGCTGTGTTCTAATTGTTACAAAAGGGCAGGGACCATATTTCCACTGTAGTTGACAGTGTCTAGCATATGGTTCCTCCCTGCCTGGAACATATGGTAGTAAGCATTCAACAAATATTGAATGTAAGTGTAATTAACTAGTCGCACTGGAAAAGAAACAGGTTTGTGGAGAAGGTTGACACATTCAATTTAGTAAGTACTGAGTTTGTACTAACTGAAATACCCAAGAGTTTTTCAGTGGATTAGACAGGTACTCTCAAGAAAGATCTGGACTGGAGGTAAGGTACTTAGCAGGATATGGAGGCTGTTTGAAAGAATAAGACCACCCAGAGAGGGTGTGTAAAGTCCAAAGGACACAGGCTCTCCAACATGCTTCTGTGGTTTGTGAAATAGGCAGGAGAAGATCCTTCCTTATATTACAGAGAAGGAACTGTCAGAAAGGTAAGAGGAAGGGAAACCAGCAGAGTATTGTAGGAAAGGTCAGTTGCCTGCTGCTGAGATGTCAAGCAATGGCAAAATGTCCATGTGAGGTCAGGGTGACTGTAGAAAAGAGTGACCTTGGAAAGGTAGAGGAATGAGGGGAAAGGAAATAAAGACCCCTATGTGCAGACAATGCCTTCAAGAAGTTAGGGTCACTGGGCATCGTGCCACAGGCCTTAATCCCAACACTCTGGGAGGCTGAGGCACAAGATAGCAAATCTGAGTATAGCTCAAGCAATTTAGCAGCTTAGTGACACCCTGTCTGGAAAATAAAAATTAAAAAAAGACTTTGGGCTGTGGCTTAGTACCAAGGCTCTAGGTGCAATCCTTGATTCTGAAAAGAAAAGAAAAAATAAAGGATCGCTTCTCGGCCTTTTGACTAAGATCAAGTGTAGAAAAAATGAAGGAAATTAGACTGTAAGAAGCTAGAGACACACACAGGGTCTCTCAAGAGCTCTCAAGACCTCAGTAAGAGAAAGTTTGTTTAAACACGAGAAAGACTTGGATATATTTAAAAGTGAATGGGGCAACAGCGACAGCAACCAAGAACATGCTTAGGCTTCAGAACAGTCTTGCCTAAAGTATCCTTCTCTGTGGCAAAAAGAAGATTTAGTTGGATCCCAATGTGACCAATGAAATCGCCAAAGCCAACTCCCATGAGCACATCTGGAAGCTGATCAAAGATGGGCTGATCATCTGCAAACCTGTGACTGTCCATTCCCAAGTTTGATGTCAGTAAAAACACCTTGGCTGACTAGAAGGGCCAGCACAGAAGCATAGGTAAGGGAAAGTACTGGAATGCCAGAGAAGGTTACATGGATGAGGGGGATGTGGATTCTGCAAAGGCTGCTCAGAAAATACCGAGAATCTAAGATTGGCTCCCACATGTATCATAGCCTGACCGGAAGATAAAGGGAAGGTGTTAAAAAGAAAAAAAAAGTGGATTAGCCCAAATCCATGGCAATTGTATGTAATTCTAGGTACTTAGGAGCCTGAAGCAGAAGGATCAAAAATCTGAGGCCAGCCCAGGGAATTTAGACCATGTGTCAAAATAAAAAGGGCTGGAGATGTGGCTCAGTGGTAAAATATTCTGGTTTCAATCCCCAGTAACACAAAACAAAAAGCAGATTCTCATGGAATACATCCACAAGCTGAAGCAGACAAGGCTGACAAGAGACACCTGGTAGTCAGGTATGGTGGTACACACCTGTAATTCTAGTGACTCAGGAGGCTAAGGTAGGAGGACCAAAACTTTGAGGTCAGCCTAGGCAACTTAGACCCTATCTCAAAATATACCAAAAACCAAAAACAAACAAAATATAAATGTTTAAAAAGTAGTGGGGGTGGGGAGCAGAGGGAGAGTTCTGGGGATGTAGCTCAGTGCTCCCTGGTTCAATCACCAGTACAGAAAAAAGAGACAGAGACAGAGAGAGAGAGAGAGAGAGAGAGAGAGAGAGAGAGAGAGAGAGAGGCTCCTGGCTGACCAGCCAAAGGCCTAAGGTCTAAGAGACAAAGGAGGGATGAAAGAGTGGAGGCCCAGGCCAAAATGGAGATCATCAAGACTGCATAAATAGGGGTTGGGATTTAGCTCAGTGGTGCCACCACCTGCCTCACAAGCTCAAGGTCCTGAGTTCAATTCCCAATACCAAAAAAAAAAAAAAATCCCCTAAAGACTGCATAAATGCTGGGAGTGGTGGCCCACGCCTGTGATCCCAGCCCTTAGAAGGCTGAGACAGGCAGGA